GTTTGTTGATTAGTCTTTCAAAGAACCAGCTCTCAGAAAGTTCCAGTGTTTGACTTCCAACTTCATCCATCTCATTGAGTTCCAGGCCTGTCCTCTGTGTCTTGCCATTCTCCACCTTCTTTTTTTTCTTTTATTTTGTCTTCTGTGTTGATGCCTGCCAACTTCCCATGGTATATAGCTCTATCACTAGCATGAAGGCTTCTCTTAAGGAGAAAAGGAGAGACTCTTTCCCCATGGATGTCTTCCAGATGTAGTTGGTTCTTCCAGGTGTAGTTGGTTCCCAAGAACCAATTGTATAGCTATCCGACTTTTAGCCATATAGCTATTCCAAGAACCTAGCCTCTGGTGTTGACAGTTCTGTGATAATGTCTATGTTGCATCCCAGAGATATGCTGAACATGGAGCTGATCATGGCCTCTGGATTGGGGGACTGGGATTGGTCGTCTGACAGTAGAGTTCTCAAGGGTACAACTGCTGTCTCCTCACTGCTGCTTCTGATGCTTTCATGTTATTGAATTACCTGATTACTTTGTCTTTCAGAGGTGTGTGTGTCTGTGTGCTGGTCTGTTGTCCTTGGTCTTGGAGTTCCCATCAGTATTATACTCTTTTAGCTGCCCTGCCATGCAGGATGTAATGGAGGGGCTCAGAGTGTGGACTCACCGTCTTCCAGCCAGACCACTCTCCAGGATGTAATGGAGGGGCACAGAGCGCAGAGCGCAGACTGAATGTCTTCCAGCCAGGCCATCCTGGGGATGTTTTCCTCATGTTTTTTTTTCTCCCTCTGTTCGTTTTCCTTGCCTGGTAAATTCTTTCTTTTGGGGTTCACGGAGTTCTAGTCCTTGTTATTTCTTTCTAGAATGTTCTTTAAAACCTTTTGGAGTGCTGGTTTGGTGATCATAAATTTCCTTAGATGTTTTTTGTTATGGAAATATCTTCTCCATCAGTTTTGAATATTGAAGGTTGTTTTCCTTTAGATTCGAAAGCTGTCTTTGACTTGAGGGTTTGTGCAGAGAACTCAGCTGTGATTCTGTTGGACTTTCCTTTGTATGTGATTTATTTTCCTGAAAGCTTTTAAGATTCTATTCTTGTCAAATTTCTGGAATCTTGACTATAATATGCCTAGATGTAGATTTTTTTTTGATCACGGATAATTGGAATTTTATATATCTCAAATATCTGTATGTCATATTATTTTTCTCTATCAGGGATGTTTTCTGCCATCACGTCTATGAAGTTTTTTTTAATATCATTTCTGTTATCTCTTGCATTTTCATTGACTCGAATCAATTTAAGTTATTCTTCTTTGCCTTTCTAGCAGCCACTGGATTGTTTTCATGTTCCCTTGCTATTTTTGAGAAATATTTCTTTTCATGGTCACTAACTTCAAGCCTGCTGTATCTGAGATCCTGTCCTCAGACTGGCTTAATATGCTATGCATACTTTCAATGGAACTTTTATTCTCCTAGATATCTGTTTGAATCTGCTGTATGAATTCCATTTCTTTCTATGCTGAGCATTCATGGCTTCCATCATTTTTTTAAGCTCATCTATTTTTTTTTGTCTGTGTTTGCCGTAGAAACACTAAGCTTGGTCTTCACTGTGGACATGACGTTTGGCAGTTATCTGAGAAATTATTTCTGATTTGACTTTTCCAGAGCCTCATTCAATTGTTTAGTTGTTACTACTTAAGAGAGGCCAGATGGGAGGCTTTTAATTTGTCCCATGCCCCTGGGTTTGTCTTTGGTGAACTGAATGTCTGGAGTTGCATCTTGTTTAAGTGTCTTCTCTTTTTTTTTTTTCTTTTTTTAGTTTAGTTCCTGGGGTGATGCTTGTAAATTGCCTATGGTTAGTTGCTTTGCTGCTAATATTTAGAACCCTTAGGCAATGAGTACTTCTCTAAAGTGTCTTTTCAGTATAGCTAGTCTTTGGTTTTGAATCTGTTGGAAGATCCTCCCTCTTCAATTTGTTGGAGATGAGAAGTTGCTGCTTGTTTGGCTCAGTCCTTGGTTCTTTGGCACTATGCCACAGTATTTTCTGAGACCCTTAGTCAGTCTGAGTCATGGAATACCAGGAAGAACAACTGTTGAGAACAATGAAATCACTTTTAGCTATAATGGTACCAATAGCATCAAACACAGGTACCAGCTAGTGTAGTCCTTCATGTCTGCTGCTTCTCTCCACTGCTACATCTCTGTAGAGACCTCTGGGATTGCCAGCCATCACTGTATGTTTGCAGGTTTGAACTGCTCCTCTCATATGGTGAATCCCATCTCAGGGAAAAGGCACCACTGGCTATTTCCTTCTTCTTTGTTGAATTTTTTTCTCTTCACTCTCTCCATGGGCTTCATTTCATGCTTCAGATTCTTCCTGGGTCTAGGGGACTCACTTCCCTCCTTGTCTTCCTCACATTGCTATATTCTAGTGCCTGGATGGTGACTCTCAGAGAGGCTCTTTCTCTGCTGCTTATCACTCCACTATCTTGGTGCTCCTCAGAAAACACTTCCTTGGCTGCCTTACGAGATGTGCTGGGCTGTGCATTCAGGCTGAACTGATCTGGGATATCCCTGCCCAGCCTTCAGGGGTCCTGGTCTGGAGTGCAATCCTATTGGGTGGTGGTGGGTGAGAAGCCTTTTTTTTTTTTTGGTCCTTCTATAGCTGTGTTAAAACAATAATAACTTAGAGAGGAACCTAAGTGCTTCTAGAAAGAGATTAGGTAGTGGAAATATCATTGACGAGCCCAAGTTGTACCCACAGATAGAGTGGTAGTTTGTACTGTCACTCTCAGAAAAGCAAAATCATCCAAAATCAGTTTACAAAGAATAAAACCATTCCAAAGGATAATAGAAGAGAATAAATAATAACAGTTTTAGCAAAAACAGAAAGAAGTAACTTCAGATTTGTTAAGTAAATGGTAACTGCATGATAATCACTTTTTTTTTTTTGGTTCTGGGACTCGAACTCATGACCTTGCGTTTGCCACACAGGGTGTTGAGCTAAACTCCCATCCAGTAATCACATTTTTCCTGAAACATTTACTGTATCATTTAATCTCGGTCCTGCCCTCCTGTGATGAAGGTGGTAGGTAGATAGGAGGGAAACTGAGACCCAAAGGTAAGTGCCCTAGCCCAGGGTCACATAAAAGTATGTGGAGGTAGAACTACTAGGACTTCCTCTAGCTCTAGCACCTTGTGTTTCCTAAGCCTGCTCTCCATTCTCATGGAAGCAGCAGGCCAGGGACAGAGCTTAGCTGAAAGGGCCTGGCCATAGAGGGGCTTTGGTTCCATTCCCAAGAATGCAAAGAGAAGCAATACATACAGCAGGCTCTTGTAAAACTAAGAAAGAAAAACTGAGAGACTAGGGAATGGGATAAATCGGATGTGGTGGTGCATGTCTATAGTCCCAGAACTCTATAAAGAGCCTGAGGCAGGAATATGCCCATGGTTCTAGGCCAGCATACATATTGGGGATACATAGTGAGACTTTAAGACTTTTTTTAAAAACAGCAACAACAACAAAAAGAGGGCTGGGGATATAGATCAATGCAGATGCCTTGGGTTTAATCCCTAGTACTAGGGAAAATAAAATGAGTCAAGCAGCTACTTGGGAGGTTGAGGCAGGAGGATCACACTTATGAGGCCAGCCAGGGCAATTTAGCAAGCTCCTATCTCAAATTCAAAAAGGGATGGAGTGTAGCTCACTGGTACAGCCTTGCCTAGCATGCATGAGGCCCTGGGTGCCATGCCCAAGGGCAGGAGGGAAAAGAAAAGAGTCTCACTGTGTAATTTAGGCTGGCCTTGAGTTCACTGTGGAGCCCAGGCTGTCCTGAAACTTACAGTGATATTCCTGTTTCAGTCTCCCTAGTGCTGGGATTACAGGCATGGATTACAGGTATGTGTCACCATACCTGGTATTTTATTTTACTTTATTTTTAAATTTTATTTATTTAAAAAATAAAACAGAATAAAAACCAAAACAAAACAGTAAGAGTGATACAGGAGTTCAAAACAAGGTAACAGGAAATCAAGAATGGCTATCATAATTCCCCCTATTGTCTTCAAAATAACTGCCTATACCATCAGACACAGGAAAGGCAGACAAAACAGAACAGAATAAAAACCAATCAAAACAAAACAATGAAAGTGAGACAGCACTTCAAAACAAGATAATAGCAAATCAAATGTGGGCACCATAATATATCGTGCTATCTTCGAAATAGCTCTCCATGCCATCAGATATAAAATCAAACAAAACAAAACCAAACAAAACAATGAAAATGATATTGGACTTTAAAACAGATAAAAAGGAATTAACAGTGGCTACCACCTTCAAAAGGAAATACCCCATAATTGCTATATTGCATATTGTTATCCTCTAAATAGATGCTCAGGCTTGCAAAGTCAATCATACAATACAGACAGTAATTTTTTTTTTTTTTTTTACTTCAGTAGCTGTGTTTCTGAGAAACACAGCTTCAGTCTGTGTTTCTCAGAATTAGCTGGTTTCTGGGTGTCACACTTCTTGTCTTCCAGCCCGTGGGCCAGGTGGTTCATAGAAGGGATTAGTATTTTTGTTCTCTTCCTGGGCTACATAGCTGCTGCTGGCTCACAGGAAGGGGTTAGCTTCTTAGTTTTCTTCCTGGGCCTCATGGCTGCTTCTAGCTTATAGGAAGGTGTTGGCCCAGTCCTTTTGGTTTGTTTTTGAAACGCCTTACTTATGTAGTGCAGGTCAGCCTTGAGTTTATTATGTAGCCTAGACTGGCCTTGAACTCTCAGCAGTCTCCTGGTTGAGCCTCTGAAGGGCTAGGATTATAGGCGTGTGCCACCATGCCCAGCTAGAAAATCTGTCTTGCAGAAGACAGTTTACCAAGCCCAGGTGTGTTTCTCTGTAGCTGGCAGAGGGAGTGAGTGGCATTGGGTTTTCTAGATGGCTCTGCCTGGCAAAGATAGGCTAACCATTACCCTGTGGGTCTCATCATGCTGTCCCTGGTCTCTCCATGACAGGGAACAAGTCTGACCTGGCTGAGCTTCGAGAGGTCCAGCTGGCTGAGGCGCAGAGCCTGGCCAAGCACTACGACATTCTGTGTGCCATCGAGACCTCTGCCAAGGATGCAAGCAATGTGGAGGAGGCCTTTGTACAAGTTGCCACTGAACTCATCATGCGGCATGGGGGCCCCATGTTCAGAGAGAAAAGCACCGACCTCATCCAGCTGGACAGCAAGGACATTGGGGAGAGCTGGGGCTGCGGGTGCTGACGAGCCGGGCCAGATTCCCTCCTTCCTTCGGGCTCTGTACCAGAAGGGGATGCTGGGAAGGAGGATCTGGACTCCCTACAGTGCCTGGTGGCTGGAGTGGTGGGCTCCATGTTCTCCATATTCCAGGACTGCCCTGTGCCCACCAGCTGACCCTAGAGTGGGATGGACTGCCCTGTTTCACCTTTTCCTTTGCCCAGTGATCTTGACTTTGCTGCTGGAGCCCAGATTCTGCCAGGCTCTTGGGGCCTGTTGTCTGGAGTCTTGTGAGCAGGAGCTAGCTGGACCAGTTCCTAAGTACAGCCTGGCGCTGATTTCCCCTGCTAGAGGTGGCATCCTCCCTAGTGCCTGCCACAGCCATGGAGACGCCCTTGGTCCAGATTTTTTCCCTATCAAAACTAGGTTTATTGGTTCTTTGTGTGGTTTCTCATTTTTATCAGCACAAGTGTGGGGATCTTGACCCAAGGCATCTGGGTATGGCCACAGTGGCTAACCTTGTGGCCTGGAGGGCTGGGACATGGCAGGAGAGGGACACTGAAGAGAGAAGCAGCAGCCTTGAGATAGCAGTAGCACATTAGAGGATGTGACCAATGCCTCAAGGCTGGGCTGGGTCCTCAGCAGCAAACTCAAAGCCACCTATGTCCATTCCTGAGTCTGAGGGCCCAGAGGCCTCACCTGGAGCCATGGCCAGGTCACCCTCATCCCCTAGGCCTGTAATGGTGTCAACCTATGTGGGGTGCTGGGCTTGGAAAGCAAGTGGAGACCCCTAAAAACCAGTTCCATCCTCTGGGCAGGGTGCACAGAACCCTCTTTGCCCACCTCAACCCTGACAGGAGTCACTGTTTCTGAGGTATGGGACACCCAGATGCAATGGTGGTGGCTGTGTCCCACCCAGGTGACCCTTTCCTCACTCTAAGTACTGTGGCCACAGCAGCCCCTTCTCTGGGGCATGGGCCTGCTTTTCTACTGAGACTTGGGCCTGTGGCTGAGCTTGGCGCCCCTGGGGACAGGGTCCAGGTGGGCGAGGAGCTGCTCTTCTTCAGGGCTCATAGAACACACCTGGGCTCAGGTGTGGTCATCAGAGAATGGGCGTGTTGCACTGCTCCCACTCCACCTCCCAGAGGCCTGGCTCTCCTCTGTCTTGGTGCAGACCCTGAAGCCATTGCCTTCACTCTGGGACACCTTGGCTGCCCAGATCCAGGGCCAGCACAAGATAGAACTCATTTGTCACGTTGGACTGTGAGCCACCACCCTATACCCACTGCCCACCATAGCCTGCCTAGGGGCAGGGAAAGCATAGATGCTCCACCAGGACTCTCTGTGGTGGCCCCTTGACTAGACCAGCAGCCAGAATGCTGTGGCACTTGTCCCCTTTCATAGTCTGCGGTGTCAAGGATATGGGTGAAGGGAACCCTCTCCAGAACTGCTTTGTACCAAATTCAGCCTAGAAATCCAAGTTGCCCTCGGTGCTTTGCCTTCTCTCCCACCCTAGAGCCCCAACCTTCCCATCCATTTCCACCCCACCCTAGTATCTCATTGCTCCTCATCCTCTTCTGTATCCATCCCTGTCTTCTCCAGTGACAGTGTCCTCATCCCTGTTCTCTCACCTGAATATGAAGTGCTCTTGGGCTCCAGTTCCACTGCTCAGGCCCCAGTTCTGCTCAATGGCAGGTCTGAAAGAACACACGGTCCAGGCTTCCCAGAGCTTTAAGATGGGGTCCTCACTCAGCCTCAACTTCTCTCCTGTCCCATCCTGTGCCGTCCCAGCTGATCTGGCCTCCCCGTCCTGACCCTTCTTCTCCCCCCATCTTCTCTTTCATTCCTGTCTCTTAGAATTCCACCAGTGACCCAGCAGGGTACCGCTGAGTGCCCTGGGAGAATAAGTCCTTCCCTGCCCTGTGGTCATGAGGTCCCCACAGCCAAGCTGAAGCCATTTCCTGGGTAATAGTGGCCACCCCTCCAGCCTCAGTGCCAGTGTCCAGGCCTCGGGCCCTGAAGTGTCCCATCAATTGGGGCTCCCTGCCCCCGAGGCTGGGGTAAGGAGAGAGGGAAGTGTGGAGGACAGAAAACAAAACCAGCCAGTGTCTCCTGCCCACCACACGTCCAGCTCCCAGCAGCTTGGCCTCTGGGGCCAGAGGGGAGCAGTTTCCTCTCATTTCCAAATCAGCCAGTGAAGGAGCAGCCAGGCAAGGGGCTCCTGTCCATCCTGGAAGGAGTCAGCCCTAGGGTCAGGGAGCCCAGAAAGCCCTGATTCACACTGAATTCAGCTCCTGTCTTCTCTGGGGGATGACAGCCAGCAGAGCCCTCAGCCCTGAAGGCCTACACTTGGGCTGGGGCCCTCAGCCAGCCTGAGGATGCCATTTGCATTGGGATTTTTTCATGTTACCTATTTATGAATATGTACATGTTTATAGCAAATCTATTTCTTAAAACATGGAAAAATGGCCTTTGTGGGAACTTTCAGAGCCAGAGTGTAAAAGGCCTTACCCATTAAACAGATTTCTGTCAGGAGCCAACCAGCTCAAGACTGGTCCTGTCACCTGCCAGATGGCCAGATGGTCTGCTGCCATGGCCAGTCCACCATCCCCCTGGAAGGTGGTGTGTGTAGCCTTGATCAAGTCACGGCCCCTCTCTGAGCCCCAGCTCCCACATTTGGCATTGTGCTGGGAGGGCTTCTTGGTGGGGCTCAGCCCGTGAGGGAAGGGTCACTTTCCCTGCTTCTGAAGGGAGCAGATGGGCTCAGGCTTTGACATCATGGGCCAGAGCTTGACTTCTGGAGCCCTCATCCAGGGAGGAAGCAGAGTGGTCATCTAGTGAGGAGCTGAGAGCCGCAGGAAGACCCTCCCAGCACAGAGCGGGTCCCAGTGCTCACAGCAGGTGCACAGTATTACCCGAGAGCCTGCACCAGAAGCCCCTGAGTCCACAGCCCTGGGAGATTGTGTCAGCCTGCTTCCTGCCACTACATCAGGTCCTCTGTGGAGAGGCACTTTGGGGCAGCACAGCCACTAGCCGGTCTTCCCCAGGAGGGAAAGAGGGCAGCCTGCCCCACCGAGCCCAACTCAGAGACAGACTGACCTGAAGGGGCCGCATCAGCCCCCATCAAGCCCCATGCCTGCTGCAGGCAGTGTGACCTCGAGCACTCATTGCTCCTTTTGGATCCCAGATTCCTGGCAGGGTCTTATCTCTGCTTCTTCCTGTGTCCCTGAAAGCCCTGTGACACTCAGGAGGAGAGGACTTAGTTCACCAGGGCCTTCCAGAGTGGGTTCACTACAGGTGCATATGGCCTTTTCCCTTCGGAGAAGGATTGAAGCTCACCTGATACTGACCTTGCTGTGCTCTAAATGCAAGGAAGAAGCACCATTGCTACTTGTGCACTCTGGGAGATAAATCCATCACTGTCCCCAGAGGCTGGAACGTGGGTTAGTCTAACCCCAGGCCCCTCTGATGCTTCTGCCTACACCATGGGCTCTTAAGGCACACTCAAAGAGTACTAGGCCCAATCATGGACTTAGAAGGGAAACAGGCTGGGGCTGGGCTTGCCAGCCCTTCCCATAGGGAGCTTCCAAGAGTGAGTCCCTCATCCAGTGGGTCTCCTCCCTCCCTCACAGCCGTCCATGGCATCTGCAGCCACAGGTTGTAAGAGAAGTGGCCAGACTCTGGGAGTAGAGGTGCATGCCTCTGTTCCCAGCACTCAGGAAACTGAGGCAGGAAGATTGCTCCAAGTTCAAGAATTATATGGGTTACATGGTGAATTCATAGCTACCCTGGACTATATAGCAAGACCTTGTTTCAAAAGCAAAATCATTGCCTCACATACAGACTCAAAGATATCACCAGTGTAGGAGATCCTATGCCAGTGGTGGCTGCAGCTGTCCAAGTGAGGAGCTAGTCCTGCGGCAGCATGAGATGTCTCTGTGTTCCTGCTCCTGGAGGCAGGAGACCTGCAACATCTCTTGTGTCCTGGGCATTGCAAGTTGATTGCCTTGAATCCTCTCGCCACAGCCTCTGAACCTCTGCAGCCTACTCTACACACAAGACCTCGAGATGTAGGCAGGGCTACTGCCAGGTAGCTGGCTCAGGTCTCCCTCTGAGCTCCCATTCCTGTGCACCTCCTGCCTTTAGTGTCTGCTGGCAACTTTGCCAAGTCTGCATCTTAAGTGGGAGCTGGGGCTTAAAGAAAGGATGACCCATAGGAGACTGCAAACAAGAGGTCCTGGGTCCCCACCTGTGTGAGTTCCTTGACCTCTATCATAACCCTGTCCTAAGTGCTTCTGAAGTGAAAGAAAAGCTCATGATTAGGGACAGGATGCCAGGCCAAGTGCTGTTGCCTGCCCAGGACAGTGCTGCTAAGCTCAAGCAGACCATGTACGGAATCCCTCGCCTAAAGACAACATTCTGTTCCTCTGGCCAGGTTGTTAAATGAACCAGTGGCTAAATGAGGAGTTGTACATATTATGCACATTACAACATTCAGAGCAAAGAAATAGTCCTTGGAAACTCCAACTCGATGACTTCTATTTTATTTCTATAACTCTTCCATTCAGCACTGTAACATAGAACATAAACAGTGCTGTACTATACAGCAGTCAGTGAGAATTACAGTGCTGTAGGGTAGAACAATCCATCAGGCCACACTGCTGCTCACACATGCCGCTGTGTTTTAAATCTAAACGTGTGTTGTGAGTCCCAGCAGGACCTGGACCTGATGCCAGGGGCTGGCTTATGACACCAAACACACTAAGCAATGGTCTCTGGTGTGAACAGTGTTGGTGGGTTCTGGTGATGAAGCAGGTGGCCAACATCCTCACAGCCTGTGCAGCTTGATGGCCATGCTGTCATGGGCCAGTCATTTCTTCCACTTTGGACTCTGGGACCACAACCATGGGGTGAGCGCCACACAGCCTCACCCAGGAAACAGGTTCAGAGACACTGAGTGACCGGCTCAAGACTTGGGCTCCCCTGCAGCTGTGTGGCCACATTATGGAATGTGTGCTCAGTCTCTGTGTGACCCTTATAGCCAAATGGGCTCTGATCAGTGTCCCCAGCCAAGCTGGCCCTGCTGCCAGTCCAGATGCAGAGGGTCATTGTGGACCTCTCTTGAGATTCCAGTCACCAGCAGGGAGGGTAGAGCTGTGTAGCCTGCTGTGGGGGTGATAGGATGGCTTCCCTCCCCTGGACATTTGCTGAACAGGGCCTCTCTTCACCCCTACATATGAGACCTGGTGTTCAGAGGAGAGGAGGGTGAGCCTCGTTACTCAGGACTGAGCTTTAGACTCTTTCCCTGTCACTTCTGGATATGCAATCACTCCTGGGCCTTGGAGGAGGGGCTATCTGCCTGAAGAGCCTCGTGATGGGGGTGACTGTCCTCAAAGAGCCAGCTCTCTCTTTGCCTTCTCAGATGATCCTGGAAACCT